TGACTGGCGTTTACTTGTGTCCAAATCCTAACTACATGGCTCTCGAACTGTCCATCATGATTGTGCTCAATATTTTAGCGATGTGGCCTAACATCTTTTGACGCACGAATCATTAACCTGTCTCTTTTATGTCTTCGTCTGTTTTGAGACAGTCACTTCTCTTCACTCCAACCTTATTCAGCTATGGTTCACACACCAACTTGCGTTGTTTTTACTCGTCCCCCGCTGCATCACATTGAGGGTAAAAATTAACATCGATGCGGTAGTTGAGGGAGAAAACACGAGCAGAAAACAAATATCCGGCAAGACACCGGAGCAGAGCATGGTTATAGTGTAGTTTTGCCAGCTAGAAGCTCTTGTCCTTATACGGCACAACATCACAAACGATTTAAAGCCACTGTCGCGGCCGACCTCCATATCTTGCTGTATACACACGTCAACAAGCTCCGCAGAGTGCAGCGCGGGATCCCGATTTTACGTGCAACAGATGGTCTTGCGCAAACCGCACAAGATGTAGCCAACGGGCTTCGCCAACACTTCATCCACACTTTCTGGAGTGAATCCTCATTTCATCCGCTCTTGACACAGCTTCCATCGCCACCAGGATTAAACCATGTATCGTTCACGGTAGCCAATGTGATGAAAACGCATTGTCATTGTCATTGCGCGTGCACAGCTAACCTGGCGGGGACGACATCAAACCGAAGGCATTGAAGGCAGCGGTCATACACCTTGCGGAGCCATTAGCTCGGTTCTTTCAACGTTGTCTCGACGAAATGCACGTTCCCACAATGTGGAAACATGGAGTAGTCACTCCTATTTACACAAGTGGTAATCGTTCGGAACCCTCCAACTACCGTCCAATCACTCTCCCCTCAGTTTTATCCAAGGTACTGGAACATGTAATTGCAGAGGCGCTCATGGGATATCTTAAGAGCAACAACATCCTAGTGTCACGTCAACACGGATCCCGCCGAAATCGATTCTGCACTACAATTTTTTTTTGGTAGCCCGAGCAAGCTGGACAGAGTCAGCCGATGCCAGAGTGGGAGTCGACGTTGTCTACCTGGACTTTTCGAAAGTCTTTGATCGTTTGGACCACCGCCATCTCCTACACAAGCTTCGAAGCTATGGAATCGGTGACCCTATACTCGGTTGAATTGACAACTTCCTCGCTCAACATCAGCTGAATGTGAGTCCGCAGCTCTATTTCCGACCCAACTGACGCACAGTGTGGCGTGCTCCAAGAATCGATACTGGGGCCACATTTATTCCTAACATTCATTAACGATCTTGCCATTGTACTGCAGTCGTATTTCTTACTACTTGCAGATGATTTCAAAATTTGGCGTGATATCAGGACATCGGATGATCACATGGCATTACAGAGCGATCTCTACAGGGCTTATGCTTGCTCATCCGATAACCGGCTCCAGTTCAACATGGCGAAGTACAAAGTCGTGAGCTTACGCCATCAACTTATCTATGGATATCGACTTGGGGACCAGCAGTTACGTGATTGTCAAGAAAACGATCTCGATGTGATCGTGCAGTTCGATCCTGATTGGTCGAGACAGGCTGAAAAGGCATCAAAAAGAACCAGTCAACATCTTGGACTCTTACGGAGGGCTTTAGGGAATTTTGAGTCATCAATCTTTCCGCAAATGCTAAACGCCTACGTGAGACCTCATGTAGAATAGGCGATCCAGGTCTGGCGCCCGTGGCGCAAGCGCGACGTCGATACACTTCAAGCTCCACAACGTGGAGCGACCAAACTCATTAGAGGATTGTCTCATCTCTCCTACCAAAGCAGACTGCAGTCCCTGAGATGATACAGTGGTGAATATCGGCGTCAGCGAGGAGGCCTAATCATGGTTTACCTAATACTGACGAACCCAACTCATCCATGTCGCAATTTGTTGCAGCTGAGCCAAAATACCAACCTGAGAGGCCATCAGCTCTAACTGGCTACGCACCCCAGTCGGCTTGATTGTCGACGGAAGGTTTTCTTCCTCCCTGTGTGGCGTGCCTGGAACCCCCTTCCGACTCACGTCATTCTTGCCCCTACATTAACGCTATTCAAAAAGCGCCTTGGTGAAACGCTTTCCAGCTTGCATTATTTGACATAGTCCGTTCCACTTGCAGGACGAAATAACTCAAACCTAACCATATCTTAACGGCCCTCTCCGTGACGTGGAGGTGAGGATGCATGCAGTAGTGTCCATGTGATTAGCCTGGACTTATCTAAACTGGATTAACATATCACATCTGTCAAAGTAAGCAACACACGCGTAAGCGTTGTCGTTTGCTTTTTTCTTTCTCACGCATTTATTGAACTATAACGGCACTTTATGCTATTTGATACTATAAATTACATCACTTGTCAAGCACATGCTATTCCACCCGTGATAAATCATTGTTCATTGTTCAACCTTGTAGCCTATATCCTCGTACGGTTTGACGACGTTGCTTGCTACCAAACCAGTCATCCCTTTCGTCTTAATCCTTCAACGTACTGATCGTTTGCTTTGCACAGGCCCAAGTGTATTTGTAGCGCAGTACGCATACTGTCTTATGTGTACCATTGGTTTCATCCATCCACCTCATACAAACCCAATTTAATTGTATTAGTTTAGCTTAGTGACGGGTGCTTATATATATATATATATATATATATATATATATATATATATATATTTGCAACCGTCTACGAATAGACATAGAACCATCAGAAACCATGGGACTCCAAAGAAGGCACAGAAATAGTAAAAGAAAGCACAATAAAACATCGGAGTCCGTCGTTGCTTCAGAGGGCGATATACTACCCGGTCGTCGAAGCCGAACTAGGGTGTTGACTTAGGAGACACCACTCCGAGCATTTGGCCGAATAGCCTGCCCACAAGGCAGCAGAGCGAATTCAGGGAATCGCGCCTATTGGGATCCGGTGACTGATTGCTCAGTTCATACGCCTTTCGTTTGTCAAACAGGGACTATTATATCAGTTAGTTTCGGCCTGTCAACGTTGTTCCGTACGCCCATGTTTCCTGAGCCCATCACTCTTGGTAACGCCACAATAATTATTGCAATTAAGAAAAATGGGTAGTAGTTACATTCTCGTGGGTTTGTCACAGCTAAATTTGCGTAGATAGTCACTGCACATCTGGAGAAGCACCGGACGGCTATAGAATATATTCGGGAATCATCAGCCATGTGCAGTCAATGTGTACGCTGTTGGGCCAAAACCCGATATGGGACAGCGGAGGCTTAGTAAAGGGGTCTTGTATTTGGAGGCTAACTTCGTCCTGTCCACGTCCGAAACGAGCATAGCAATGGGAATGAGTTACATACTATATTAAACTCGCTGTTTGAACACGACGACGAGTACCGCTCGTCTCACACGGACCGATTGGATCTTAAGAGTAGGATCTTGTTTTCTTGCCCCACCCCCCATGGCACAAATGGAACGCGCATTGCTGACCATTCCGGTGAATACAAAACAGCTATCCAATGTTTTTCATATGTATAACAGCCGTCTGATTGGGTCCGGGACGAATCTCCCCCAAAATTTCGTCCGAATCCTTCCTTCCACTACTCTCCAAGAATTTAACTCGTCAAACATTGGGGGAGAATACCTTAGCACTATTGTCTTGGTGACTGCTCAAATTCAAGAATATAACCATTAATGTGGTCGATTCCAGGAGTTCCATCCCAGCGCGTTTTCTGAATTTCTTCATACTCTTTCAGCATGTTTGATTGGCCACCTCGGGGTCTCATCTAACTAAACGCACTATTGGCAGACAACGATCGCCAAACTAGTCGCTTTTCAGGCATGCGGAACGCATTACTAGACCACCCGATGGGTCGCACTTGACAATCTGTCGCTGAACGCCGGTAGCAGCTTTTGGTCTTACTCGATTTTCCCACCAGATATGAGCAATACTTCACAGATATCGGGGTTAGACGCTCCGCCTCTCAACGCTCAAGACGCATCAGTCACGTCTCAGTAACATTCGCTGTACTGTCACGCTGCAAAACCTTCGTTAACCGATAAGCATATATCCTGTCGTCTGCATCAGTGACAAGCCCTGAAAAACTACACGAGCTTTAGCAGTGCACGTAGCAAACCCTTCGGTGATGTGACCACCAGATCTGATGTACCTACACCCGGCTGTTTTTTGAGAACTGATAGTGAATCGATCCACTCTTGTTACAGTACTTTGCTTTTTGATACAAAGTGCATACGAATCGTGCATCGCCACATGCTAGTCTATTCAGTAGCACTGGCGTAGCAGCTAGACATGACCCACAGTGAACTGTGTCTACACACTATGACCTCATGAGAAGTGTGCGAATTTATAACTTGTTCATAATCATTACTCTCGTGTGGTTAGAAAGAACTGGAGAGATAGGACCTAACGCACTTCATTTGTTTTGCTGTACTCCGTGGACATCCTTTCACATGCCTTTGCACAGCTGTGGCAGCTGTAGTACTATAGATTTTGCCTTAATAGTCAACCCCGTTCACCCTTCGGAGCTTGACCCAGTCACAAACGAGTTCAGTCAACCGGATCAATGATAACCTTCAAGTCAGGTGGTTTCCATGGTATGATGTTTATAACTATGGGGTTGTTCATGTACCTGTCTTGGGGCAAATATGTAGTCATTGTTTCTTCTACTTATTCATCTTTTACGAGGACCGACGAGCCATTGCAGCTTCGTTATGATCGCTTTGTCAACCCAAGTCATCTAAGTTGTCTCCATAGTGGTTGGTTGTTGCAGTCAAGTAACCTCGGTTGCGCACATTAGTTTGGTCTGCTCGCCAGCTGGCTGGGTTTTCGTACTGCTATGTTTTGTCGTTGCGGTGTACCTTTCCGAATTTCATTGCTGCCTTCATCTAACGCTGTTTGGTATTCCCGCGCCCATTTTACTTAAGTAACACTCACCTTTTGCTGCTTTAACCAGTTCTGTTCAATGTTTCGTTTTGTCTTCTTTTTCTTCAGTTTGAAGATTTAGCCGGAGTGCAATCTATAGTCGATCGAATAAACGCAGCTAGTGAGGCCCTCATGGAAAAGCGCCTAGAAACGCGCGTTAAAGCGTTGAATTTCCTCATCAACTGCTTTCGTATGCACTATTTGTACTTGGATGAATCATGGAATTATTCCGCTACCCTTCTCGGTGGAATTGAATACGTTCTCAAGAAAGGCAGGACACAAGATCAAGCTTTAGCTGTTGACTGCTTGACGGTTTTCTTTCTGCAATTTATTTCGCAGAATATACAGGACTACTTTGCCAGATTTTGGCCTATCCTCGACACGGCTCTTCGGGATACTACTGTCTCTACTCTGTTACGTGCTGCGTGTGCCACCGCATTATCAATTTTTCAGTTAGTAGCTGGTCAGTGCGACTTTGTGTCTTCCAAGGAATTAATGAAGTCTTTTGAGTCCGTCTTCAAGGGTTCCTGTTTGAAAGGAGATGGCAAAGCTCCTGTTTTGGATGCACATGTCAGTAGCCTACATGTTACGACTCTCCGGGCATGGGGCATTTTGTATACCTTCCTGGCGTCGTATGACGTCGGACCCGTAGGAAAAGCTATGCTTCCTACTTTGATCAGCTTGTTACAAGGCGCGAACGTGGATCTGCGCATTACAGCAGGAGAGGTGGCGGTATTGATTTACGAACGAATTCGCATCGAGGAAGATAAACGGTTTCGAGGCCCGTATTATTGCGAGTTGACCAGGCTTTTGAATGGATTGTCAACAGACGGCACGAAATCTCGATCCAAAATCGAGCGAAGAAAACAAAGACACACTTTTCGTGAGTTGGTGGATGCACTGGAACACTCTGAAGTTACCGAAACATCCATCAATTTCGGTTCTGAATGCCTCCAACTTGGATCTTGTACGGAACATATGCACTATGATTTGTTATGTTGCTTGCTCAAGGGTGGTTTATCACGTCATCTACAGGAGAACTCTCTCGTACGTGACCTTTTTGATCTGGGGCCTCCCGTAGTTCTTCCGACCAACCCATTAGATCGTCGTTCCGCACGTGACCAGCGGCGTTTGGCCAACGCTTTGGCGTCAAAATTGCGAACCCAGAAGTTGAGCTCCCACCGAGACAGACGGAATGTTCTAGCTGAAATCGATTAGTATTGAGTTTTCATTCAGAGATGCCGTGTACATACTTTTGCCATTAGACTACTGACTAACCCGCTCTGCGTGTGCTTTCCTCTTAGCTTGCACGTGGTTTTCTGTTCTGTATGCGGTTATTCACTAACTCTAATAGAATTTACGTTAATTCACATGTCTTTGATCACCACGACATTCGATGTGTAGTCTAGTTTAGTGTCTTGCCACCTCACTCTCAAGCGGTACATCCGCTCATTAGTCGGTGATATATTACCACTTCTAGTTGGTGAGATGACCCCTCTTCTTCATTACCAGGTAACCGCCTGTGTACGGGACACTTAGCACTGATCTCTCGGCCTCTGGATCTATAACTCCTTCGTGATCTCGCTGCTCTGAACTCCTTTCCGGTCTTCTGTCATAAGGCTGTCTCCTTTTTTCAACAAGTAGCCATCACTTCATTGCCGTCAGCCGGATTGTTTCTCTCCTACTCCAAAGGACCATGTCAGTTATTTTCAAGCATCATCTCAACTGTCAGTCGTTCATCTTGCGTCATCGTTCATGAAATTCCAGCACTACAGTATATTTTATGTGAAGCAGCAGTCGCGCTCAAGCATGCAGCATTCGCGTTGCTATATGGGGCGTTACTAAGCTTCGTTTTTTCATCTGCAGCTATGAACATTTCGCTGATCCGAATGGTTAAACTCCAGACTATGAGAACTACAATGATCGATTATTTTGTCCAAAGGGCGATATCGACAGCTATCGATAGTGACCCTTTGACTTGTTTTCAACTTACACCGCCTTTGCACTGTACCTATAGCACGACTTACACTCTCTGTGATTACCACTTTTAGAATCTCAGTGTAGCACACGCCACGTGGGTGCCGTGAATCAAAAGTACGAACATACGATTGACTTGTTTAGCTGTCTATCCATTTGTCTTGCATTTGATCCCACTGCACCCGTGTTTCACACTGTGCTACATTAGGTCCTACTGGTATGTACATTCTGAGGTATGTGTAATAATCTGTAGATTGAAACATTATTGCGGAATACTTAGATGGATTTTCATAGGACCAACTACCCTCTTCGCCTGAGCGTGAATTCTAGTCGGCTAGTAGATATCCCGTATTGTCTGGATCACTTGGCGAAGCTGCCTGTCAGCACTTTGATATGAAAGCCCAGTCGCTTCTAGATGATTGGGCAGTTTGTCATCTCAAGATGTTTGGCTCATTTTTCCGGCTTTTGCCATTACCAATCCCTAGTTTTCGCACATGCACGCAAGGAATAACGCTTCATCCCGAGATGACCACGTCGCTTAAAGTACAAGCTGTCTATGAGTACCATGAAGCCCTATCTGAGTTTCCCTTTGATTGTGATGCATGAATGTGCCGATATGCATCCATTCAAAACCTTGACGAGTCGGAACCACTGTGTAGAGTGGATGTACCACACGATAATTCGATGCAGATAGGTGAGCAGATTAGACATGAACGGTGACTCTTCTACAAGTTAAGAAATTAACATATCTTTAATCACCGCATGGAGATAGATTGACTTGTTTTTTTCGGAAGGGTTGCCTGTCCTCTTCGAGATCGCGCATACGTAGTAGCTTCGCAGAGTACCATATATGCGCAGATAAGAACCCCAGCGTTGCTACCAGCTGACCGTACAACCTGGGACACTTCTGCCTTACTTTTTGTGATAAGAGCTCTGCCTCTGAGGAACGTCAGCATTTGCGTGACATCGACACCGTCTACATTATAGGCGGAAATCTTCAGCTAATCAGCTGGACGATTGCCAGAGCAATTGATTATCAGTTTCGGACCAATCGCAGATGTACAAAAATGTGTTTCTGGTGGCTACGTTTTATTATTATCATCCAACTCTTAGATCTGACAGAAGGCCGTACGTCTGGTTTCAGGCACGGTCATTTCATGAACCTGGCATGCTATCGGCCTGAAATCTCGTAACCACTCTATCAGCTCTTGAGTCATGTAACAGCTAGTCTCAGTATCGTGGAATCTAATTGGAACCGGTCGGGGCGTCATCATTTCTGACAGATATGACAGACATGTCCAAGTAAAATATCTAGAAGCCAGTATTAAATGTCCGTGTTGTGGCTTTAAATAAATCATACTTTTGCAGCTATAACAATGGATAACATTGTTGATGCGATAATATTTACTATGAAACTAGAATTGTGTGGGGCTACACTTTATTGTCTGTTCCACAGGAATGGAAGTACGTTAAGATCGATGGTGCATCTCAGACAAACAGGCGCAGATGGGGTACTGAGCCATTGTTCAGACCGCCCAGAGCATGTATGTGCGGGGCTCGCAATCTCACATGTCGAGTGTTATGTGCGCGAATTTATGGCCAGGGGATATGCGATCCGAACGGTGAAATGTCAACTAGAACAACCTTAATTCATGCCTAAGGTTAACCACAGAGCGCATGGCGACAGTAGGAATTCCATATAAAGAAGGTATCTCGGAGAGTGCTTAATATATAGAGGGAAAACCAGGACGCTTTTCCAAAACAACCAAACGCTACGATCGATGTTGATACATTCGGAATATTTCCTCAGTTAGCTAGAGCAACCAACTGTGTTTATAAAATCCCATGTGAATATTGCACACATGAGTATATTAACCAAACTGGCAAGGTACCACGCACAAGAGTTTCAGGACATAGGGGAACGAACCTGCAGTTGTGCATGCTCTAGTCATGAACTATGAAATCAGCTTTGATATTCTGAGATCTTCAGGGGGGGAGTTGCGGTCAACATCACGCAAGTTAGTTTGTCAGGCAGCGGAATTCAGAAAACACTAACAACTGCGTGAATAGAATGGACAAGGTAGAGCTGCCGAACGCCTATCGTCCAGTCTTACTCCGGCCAGTTTGAGGTGTTATTGTAATAATGTGCAACCGTTGGAGCCAAAGGTCAAAACTGGCATCTTGTTAGTACCACAAATAAACATAGTCAGTTGCGACGAAATCGCCAAAACGCTGGAACGTGCGGACTTTAAGCGGCTAATATTCCTTTTGGACATTCCTTCATGCGAGCATTTTCCATGTGCGCTTTCTACCGTCTGCTATTTAATCGACGACTCACTGGCCTAGATGACAGTTGTCCATCATGTCGTCCGGGGCGTCACTGATCATGAAGAAGGCGACTACTTCAGTATTACTGCATCTGTCCGTTACACTAATCAAGACTACGTGATGCTAAGACAACCAATGCGCTTGGTTCAGCTGGAAAAGGTGACCCTACCGTGGTATCTAGTTACATTTATATATTTGCAGTCCTGGCTAGTGTACCTGTTTCCGCACTTCCTTCATCCCCTGTTCTGTTCTCAAACCTTTGATGTCACTTTATGAAATGTTTTTCTTACTTCTAATTAGGGCAACACGAACGCAGTGGAATCCTAGTGCCTATTCTCTTATGTCTCCCCCTGCGCCAAGCCGCTGTCCACCAGGTTACCGGCTCAATTTCTCCCATCTACACTCGACGTGCGGTACCGATATCCAAATCGTTATTCCTCTTTTTGTTTATTTGCACCCCAGTTGGATGCCAGTCCACACACGTCCTCGCATTCCCACTCATTAGTAGTTCATAACAAATGATCTACTAGCATTAAAAGCCCTTCCGATTAGTTTATGGTTTTAGGAGTCCTATTGCTCTTGCAGGCCATTCGCTTGTTTGTTCTTCCTTTTATTTTCCCAAGTGACTAGTTCACAACTTGCCAACAACACGCTGTGACTCCAAAGGTGTAATGGTTCTACCGTATCTACTACGGGTTCCATTTTAAGACACGCTCTGTCAGTGTTCAAACTGGACATCTTCCAACCAACAGAGAGATTGCGTGCGATTCTTTACCAAACTAGCTCCTATTGTGTCGGTAACAATGTGTCCCATAGGCAACCTTCGCGATAACCGCGACTCTTTTCGTGATACTCTCATGCAGCAGAATCGAACGGCCCTTACTGTCTACGGAATCTGACCATCGCTCGGTAGTCGAAACCTTATATCCGACCACTGGATTGTGTCTTGGTTTCGACTTAATAGCAGCTTGCTCTCAGACTGCTTTGAACTACAGGGAAGAGCGATGTGCTGTCGCGAATGTGCAGCACTTGAGTCCCAAGGATACTGCTAGAACGTAGCTTCAGATGGAAGAACCAGTGGTAGTGCAACTGTCGTCAATTATGCCGAAAAGTATAGAAGTAAGGTTAGTAATGTAGGTTGGTATGCGAATAGGAGAAACAGGTGACAGATAAAGATGGGAGGCATTAGCAGTAGCATGTTTTCGCTTACTCGTCCTGTTGTATGCAGCCGATAAGTCTTTTAAAACTGTGCGATAGACGATGCAGGTGATTGCAATTTGATGATAAACCCATTTATTCATGGCTGTACGGGGGCTGGGCGCCCAGATTTAGGCCGGAAAACGATTAGGGTCCCCAACCAAAGCGTTTGACTCAAAGCCTGACCACATGATAGCTGGGAGATGGCAACAGTCCGGTTTACGGAAATGGGCTTTATCCCTTTCCCAACCCGGAGGACCAGGAGACTGAATTTGTCTGACCTGTAACCATTGATCACTTTGGCGTGTATGTGTGGTTCCCTTGAGCCCACGCAGTATGGGTGGAAGAAGTGCGCAAACCGTCGTACCATACTATAGTTCAGTCACGTTGCACATCGCATCCTCGTTCGTAGCTTCACGTTAGCGTGGCATTTCGCGTGCATTCTGTTGTGTATCCTTGGGGTTCTTCCTATCACGACTGACAGGTGGGCGAGAAAGCTGACTGCCAACGTCGGTGTGTTCGCCACAAAGCGTGCTTTAGACAGACCCCGCGAGCCTGTTGCCACGTTCCAGCCGAAAGCTGATGAAATCGCGCGTCAGACATTTCGTACCTTGCCATGCAGCGGGTAGGCGGGTGAAGACTGGCGTTCCCGAACAAGACAGGGAACTGGCCTGACAGATCGGACCGTCAAGTGTAGAGCGTCTTCGTGCGAGGAAGACAGGTAACCAAATCCACCAGGTGGTTAGAGGATTGGTGAGACGAACCTATAAATATGAGCGTTCTTGGTTCTAGTACAACTCTGATCGGCTGAGTCTTTTGTTTTCCTTCCTGTCGAGTTGGTCAAGGCGTCAAACCGAGCAGGCGTAAGGCGCAGATTTATCAGCAGATATGAACCAACCGGTCAGTTGCGGCTACAGCGTTATAACAACGACACTGTGTAACAACTTCAAGAAGTTTCGGTATTCTCCCCGTTATCACTGGTGTGAAGCCAAATCTAGTTAAACTCATACTTTTCGTATGATTAACGGGATCACATTCAGGTCAGTTGGTTGAAGCAGCAAATCACATCTCATGAAACTATTCTGTCGGATTGGCAATTATGGTAGGTTAGGTTATATCAACCCATCTAACAAGTGCGTGTTAAACAGGGCAGTAAAACAGAAGACTGACTAGTCATCTCTGTCGGACGTCCGGTGAACTAACCAGAGGTGGGAAAGTTTGGATTAGCAATGGCAGCATGTTATCATTTGCTGCGTGATCTTTTTCT